TAAAATTTATCTTTATTTGAAAATTGATAAACATAAAATGCAAATAAAATACTAATTAATCTAATATTATATCAATAAAATATATATTTTTTAAAATATGATTGTTAGTGGTGGTGATAACTAACTGTGATGCATGTGAATGCCGACTAGAGGCGTTGGTTGATGGTGGTGGTTCTGATTAGTAGCTAGTGGTAATTGGTAGTAATGACAATTATGGTTGAGAATGATGGCGGTAATAATTAATAATGGTGGGTAATTGTGGTGGTAGTTTATAATGGTGGGCAGTGCCGGCTATGGTTGTTCATTGCGATGGGTTGGTTAGTTATGGTAGTTGAGGTGGATGAATTTATGGTTGTTCATTGCGATGGGTTGGTTAGTTATGGTAGTTGAGGTGGATGAATTTATGGTTGTTCATTGCGATGGGTTGGTTAGTTATGGTAGTTGAGGTGGATGAATTTATGGTTGTTCATTGCGATGGGTTGGTTAGTTATGGTAGTTGAGGTGGATGAATTTATGGTTGTGGTTGAGAATTATGGTGTAGGGGTAGTGGGGATTCTGGGTGGTGGTTGTCGATAATGGTGGCGGCTATGATTGAGGATGAGGATGAGGTGATGGTGGAAGTGGTGGTAGTTAAGTATGGTGGTGGTGGGTGGAATGGTAACGGTTGATAATGGTAGGCGGTGGTGGCAATTAATAATGAATATGGATGATAGCATCTTAATGAAATTAAGTCTTTGTTATAAGTCTTGATCATACAGACCCATTAAGACCTATTAAGTGGTTGTGAAGTAAAAAAATAAACAAACTTAATGATTAAGATCTGAATGATTAAGATTCAGACTTTATAAAAAACGCACTTAATGTATGAGATCTGAATGATTAAGCTTCAGACCTTCATTAAATGCAAACAAATGAGGCCTAAATCACATCAAACAACGCTAAAAACACGAATCACGCATCGATTCAAGCCTAATGAACTTTTAAACTTCAAACTTCTACATCTGATGCCGAAACCTATCAAATCAAGTCCGATTGACCTAAAATTTCCACACAAGTCATAATTGACATTACAAACCTATTCCAACTTCTAAAATCGAAATCCGACCCCGATATCAAAAAGTTCACTCCCGGTCAAACTTCCCAAAAATCATCCAATTTACCAACTTTCGCCAATTGACGCTAAAATGACCTATGGACCTCCAATTCAACATCCGAACACGCTCCTAAGACCAAAATCACCCTACGGAGTTATTGGAACCGTTGAAACCCCATTCCGGAGTTGTCTTCACACAAATCAAACTACGGTAAATTCCTATAACTTAAACTCCTAATTTTGGGACTATGTGTCCCGTTTCACTCCGAAACCAAAAACAAATCCCCCCGGCAAGTCATGTAACCACAAAATGAGATGGAGGAAGCAATAAATAGGGGTTCGGGGATAATACTCTCAAAACGACCGGCCGGGTCGTTACAATAATAGAATAAGAGGCAATAATTAAATGATTCCTTAACAAAATAACAAATTAGAAGTCCCCAAATATCACATGTTAATCTCAACAAGTAAGGGCAAACATGTATTTACAAATTCTCAAGTCATGAATGATATATCGAGTATAATCGGACTCCTAGCGACAACACGCACGAGTTATGCTGAGGTTGTACGGTCCGATCCATAACAATCGTGTACATACATTACTGAGGTCGTACGCCCCGATCCATGGATGCATAACATTATATATTTAAATATTGCCGAGGCGTTCGGCCTGATCCATGGGAGTAGGGAAACTCTTCAGACTATGAATTATGTGTTTGCAACTCCAAGGTAATTAGCCCATAAAAGAATATAAATTTTCATCAATAATTAAATATTCCGCCAAATCTCTTAGTAATGAAGCTTGATTTAACATGATCTTTAACAAAATTTTATTTATTAATACAAGCATTTAAACTAGCAAGTTGAGTTCAAATAGTGAAAGTAATTGCATAATAAAGTCCTATGTCTATCCGGACATAACATGAATTTTAGCTACGCACGGACTCTCATCACTTCGTGCGTGCGTAGCACCCACAATTAGTAGAAAATAAAAATTTAAACACATATGGGGTAAATTCCCTCTTACAAGGTTAGGCAAGAGACTTACCTTGTTCCAAGTCCACTTTCCGGTCCACAAATCACACTAAAATCCTCAAGTCGATGCCGAGCAATTCGAAACTAGCCAAAGGTTGTACAAACTAATCAATATTTGCTCAAAAGTTCATAATTTAACTATTAGAGTAATTACCCAACCTAATTTGGAAGAATCCTAAAATTCACCCTCGGGCCCACGTACCCAAGTTCTAGAAATTTTTGTGAATAAATGTTACCATAACCTCAGGAACACAAATATATAATTTCTGCCAAATTCCATAATCATTTCGTGGTCTAATCCCAGTTTTATCAAAACCTATGCTTTTCAACAAACTCCTAAAATTTCCACATTTTACATGTTAAAAATCTACCCATAATCTATGTATTTAACTTATATTGTATAAAAATTACTTACCTTCAATAGCTAGGTAAAAACCCCCCGCCAAGAAGCTCCAAAATCGTCCAAGGGAAATGAAAATAAGAGAAATGGCCTAAGTCGCGATTTTAATAAAGACATTGCCCAGATTTTCCCTCTTCGCGATCGCGAAAAGGGACTTACGATCGCAAAGGAAAAGCCTGCCCAGGCCCTGAAAACCTTCATCGCGAACGCGACAGGGTCCTCGTGATCGCGAAGGCTAGCCCAGCCTAAGCATCGCAAATGCAATCCTCCCTTCGCGAACGTGAAGGGCAACGACCTACTGACCCCTGGCACTCCAACCCTTCTACGCGAACACGACGTGGCCATCGCGAACGCGAAGGCCACAGGTCCTGAAGCCTCGCGAAAGCGGCCTGTTGATCGTGAACGCGTAGGGTAAATTGCCCAACTCCCCAATTCCTTCTACACGAATGCGAGACAACCTCCGCATTCGCGAAGAAAGAAACCAGAACCAGCATATCAGAAGTTTTGGACTTAGCTCCGGGCAGTCCGAAACACACCCGAGTCACCTGGGACCCCGTCTAGCTACACCAACAAGTCCATAAACATAATACGGACCTCCCCGAACAATCGGAACATGTAAAACAACAACGGAACTAAGAATCGCACCCCAAAATCAAATTGAATCAACTTATGAACTTCAAACTTCTCAACTAGCTCCGAACGCGCTGAAAAATACTTAGACTACTCGGAATGACACTAAAGTTTGCGTACAAGTGATAAATCACCATACAGAACTATTCCTAGGCTCCAAACCAAATTTAAAGAACCACAAAACCTTCATTGAACCAACTTTCAACAATAAGCGCTGAAACGCTCTCGAATCATTCGAAACCCGATCCGAACACACGTCCAAGTAAAAAATCATCATACGAACCTATTGGAACCATCAAATTCCGGTTTCGGGGTCGTTTACTCAAAATATTGACTCAAGTCAAACTTGGCAATCCTAAGCCACTATTAAGGACCTAAATATTCAAATTTCAACCTGAACCCTTCCAAACCTAAAGCAACTATCCCCGCAAGTCATAAAATAGTAAAAGCACATATGGAGAGTCTCAATTAGGGGAACGGGGATCTATAAAGTAAAATGACCGGCCGATCGTTACAATAAAGCTCCAACAAATTTGGAGATTCAAAAATTATTTTTAAAAAAAAGAAAAGAAAAGAGAAGATGATTAAAAAAAACTAAATATACAAAAAAGTTAACTACCTAAAATTAACTACTCAAACATGAGTGAGGTTGGTTTAGGTTAGATAAGTTTTTTAATCATTTTATTTTTTCTTTTTAAAAATAAAAGGTGTATTTATTCATAAAATATTATTTAGAATAATAGAATAAAATATAAAGTAAGAAAAATATTTCAATAGTAATACAATATATATCTTCAATTATATTTAAAAAAATAACATACAAAATTATTAAACAAAGTAATATGTTAATAATTGTTTTTATTAACAATGCAATTATACTAAACATGGATAATATAATTAAAAACAATACGGAACAAAAACATTATTCGATGGCTATATATGTCCCTTTAATTTAATAGAGATTTTATTAATTAATATTCATATAATATTATTGAGAACAATAGAATAAAATTTAAAATAAAGAATTTAATTTAATAGAGAATTTATTTATTAAAATTCAGAAAATAGTATTGAGAACAATAGAATGAAATTCAAAATAAAAAAATATTTCAAGAGTAATAAAATATACATCTTCTATTATATTAAAAAAAATAGTAGACAAAAATATTAAGCAAAGTAATATATTAATAAAATTTTCTATTAACAATGCAATTATACTAAATATTGGGTAATATAATAAAGAAAAATACATAACAAAAAAGTTATTCTATGCCTATATAAGTCACTTTAATTTAAAAATATTTTATTCATTAAAATTCAGATAATATTATTGAGAAAATAGAATAAAATTTAAAATAGAAAATATTTCAAGAGTAATAAAATATATATCTTCTATTATATTATTAAAAAAAAGTAGTAGACAAAAATATTAAATAAAGTAATATGCTAATAAATATTTCTATTAATAATGTAATTATACTAAATATTGAATAACATAATAAAAACAAATATAGAACAAAAAATTTATTCAATAATTATATAAGTTTATTTAATTTAATAAAAAATTTATTATTGAATATATCATAGTGACAAATAAGATCATAAATGAAATTTATTAATACAATACGAACTAATATATTTAAACCAATCCTATCACAATTTCCTTTAATTAATATTGATAGTGTATGTAAAAACTTGAGGTTGGGGGCTCTTTCAAACCGCAAAGTTTGCCACGATGACCGCTTTGCAGTTTTCAGGATTCCTAATAACGAACACGTACCTATGTTCTCAGTTCCACGCGTCAGTTTTTCTCTTAAGTTTACCCCATAAACCAGCTCTTCTACAAACACAAAAAACTCACTTCACGGTTCTCCTTTTGCTCCGTTTTCTTGCAAAGTTTTGCCTTTTGGTGTAGTTGGGTTTTGTTTTAGATTTTTTCAAAAATGAACAGTAACTTGGAGACTCGATCATTGCTCCATGGCTTTGACAAGGGAGGTTTCTTTGATTTGGGACATCCTCTTCTCAACCGTATTGCTGAAAGCTTCGTCAAAGCTGCCGGGGTACTCATATTCTGTTCACAACATGAACTGCCATTTGTGTCCTTTTTAAATTCTTAATTTGTGTTTTTTGTTATTTATTGTGGTTGTTTACATTATCAGATTGGTGCTGTTCAAGCGGTTGCTCGTGAGGCTTATTTCACTGCTTCTGAAGGTGAGCCTATTTTTTATCCGTTTTGCTCCTTTTTTAAAAAAATATATAGTGTGCAAGTTGTTCAGATTTTTAGAGTTTATAGAGTAGTTGAAGTTGAATGGATCTTTTAGGTGCAAGTGGAGATAGTACCAGCATACCACCAGAGATCACTGGTCCCAAGAATCGATTTCCAGACCTTAGAGGTAAATATCCTAGTGTATTTCACTCATTAATAATATATATATATGTTCCTAGTATGTTGTACTTGTGCCATGATTGTCAGTGGCCCTCAGTCCTACATTAGTTGGGATTAGTGATGTGAAATGTATGTATTCATTCGTCAATGTTTCAACTTTACGTGAGTTTGCTGCTAAACGTTTTGGGGTTTGGGTCTATCTAGCAACATTGCACCGGTATGAGTTTAGCTAAGATCCATGATTGTTGAGCTTACATAAAAGTGAGCATAAACTGGATGGGTAATTGAATAATGTTTTGAAAGCAATTCTTAATGCCTGATTGTGTAAATATTATTGTGATCTGATTGTGTAAATACTTTTTACATCATCACTGCATAGAGAACTTAAACTCTAGCTGCATGGATTACAACAACAACAACAACCCGGTATAATCTCACTATTGGACAACAACCCAGTATAATCTCACTAGTGGGGTTTGGGGAGGGTATTACCCCAGTTTCCGATAGACCCTCGGCTCTCTCCCTCGAAGAACTCCCCACCTTACTCTTGGGGTGACTCGAACTCACAACTTCTTGGTTAGAAGTGGAGGGTGCTCACCACTAGAACAACCTCCAAGCTGCATGGATTGAGTTGTTAAAAACTCAACTGTATAGAACTGACTTAAACTCTAACTGCATAGAACTCAAACTCTATATATACAAAACCAAAGGTGCTTTGCAGTTCAAAATTGAAGGATGACTGATTGTATATGGATTGAGTTGTTAAAAACTCAACTGTATGGAACTGACTTAAACTCTAACTGCATAGAACTCAAACTCTATATATACAAAACCAAAGGTGCTTTGCAGTTCAAAATTGAAGGATGACTGATTGTATATGATAACACTACGATATATGCTCTTTCATTCTAAACCATTCACCATCTATGCCTAACGATGTGGAAATTTGACCATAACTAAGATATGATCTCATCTTATATATGGTAATGAAATATGGAAAGAATTTTTTTGGTGTCTGGCCATCAAAGGTTAGAGAAGTATCATCATCTTTGCATTTGATTTTGTAAATCATAATTACTACTTTCGTAGAACTTCTAGAGGAATATCTATTGAGAACAGAATAGTGACTAAGCTATAGATATTACATATCAATTTTATTTTTGGCAAAAATTTCTAATGCACAACGTCACCCAACTTCAGCTTATAAAGGTGAAACAATTAATAGATCGACCCTGCCTCTATATAGTAATATAGAGACAGTAATACCAAATTCACTTGTTCATTCATGCGACATTGCTTCTACTTGTTTAAGGCATGGCCTGATTTAAAGTTCAAAAAATGTCAAATCAAATTGGACTGCAAGAATGATAGTGAAAAATTTGGGGTTATATGTCTTTTTGTGCATAAAGGCAGAATATAACCTTAGATGTAATGAAAATGTGGAACATGCATTTGTCTACTTGTTGTCGTGAATTAAGATATTCTAATTAGATGTAAGCCAATGCTTTTTTAGTGTCGGGGTACTTGAATGGTCTTAGGTTACTGAAATAAGTTGTAAAATACTGTGGAACTTTCACATAAAAACTTTTTTGTTTAAACCTAGTTCGATACATCATCGGAGTTATATTTTGTTGATACATAAGATATCAGATTATTCATTTTCTTGTAATATTTGATGCAGGGGAGACTAACAGAAAGTCAATTGAGGCCCTGGTAAGACGATTCAACTTTTTTGCATCTTGTGGTTTTTCTGATATGTTAATGCAACCAATAATCCCTCCATCTCCACCTCAGAAAGAAGAGGAAAATTAAAAAAGTGTGTAAAGTTGAAGATCGGTGATGTAGTGGATTACCTAGTTTGTTGTTGATTGAACGACACCTTGATGTTGGGATGGAGAAATTATGGATGGTTGTAAAAGATTGCTTTTCATTTGTAAGTGGATATGTTGAAGCTTTGCTGAACAGTAAAATTATCTTTTGCCTTCTTTTCAGGTAAAGAGCACCGGAAAAGAGTCCGTTCAATGGGGTGAGCCTACTATCATAGTTTTCACTAACATTATTTTATGCCATCATTTTATTATTGTTCGCCTGCGGTGGATGGTAGGGGAGTTATTCTGGTCGTGAAAGAAAGTCATACATTGCATTCATATATTATGTATCTACTTTGCCTCTGAATGTTGCACATGAAAGTTTTAATTCACTTCTGCAGGACTAGCTGCAGGGATGTACTCTGGTCTTACTTATGGATTGAAGGAGGCTCGTGGAGTTCATGATTGGGTCCGTTTTCCTTCCTATTGATCCTATGTTTCCCCTGTTGGCAAGTTATTGCTCATTTACTGGTGAATATGTATTAATTCTTTGGTTCATTCTTCTGTTTGTCCTAGAATTAGTTGGTTCACATATAGTAAACTCACTTGGTTCATGTCCATTTCAAAGGCAACTTAAACCTTCTTGACTAGAGTTGATTCATGGGGGTACACTGCGAATGAATTTTGTCTTCATATACTGGGTCCCCTATTTTGGCGGTGAACACTTTGGTCTAGGACATATGTTTTTGGTAGACTGTCTGTATTGTAAGAATTCATCATAGTTTTGCATTGGCTCTCAACCTACCGCAACCATCCTCCTTTATCCAGGCCTATGGCCGGCAATGTATGAGCTTGGGTGTGAGCTCATACAGGCAGTTGTGGGCAATAGTGCTCAAGTCACTCGCCATCCATTTCAAATCGGGGGCGTAGTAGTAGTTGTGTATATCTTCTGTGGACTATTTTGAAATTGTCTAAATATTGCAAGATTTTTCTTCCGCAGAAAAATAGTGCTTTGGCGGGAGCAATAACTGGTGCGGCTTTGGCTTTGACACTGGAGGATCGTTCTCATGAACAGGTGGTGCAGTGTGCTATTACAGGAGCAGCTATCTCTAGTGCCGCGAATCTGCTTACAGGAATATTCTAGGATGCTGATAGTAGAATTTGTTTAACTGGAGACTTGTTACTACTTTGTTTCAATGGCACTGCACTAGGCATTTTAACTTTTATATACATGGATGATGCTGCTTTCGAGTTGATTTTGTGGCATCTTTTGTGCTTATTATTAGGGTATTAATTATAAGGTTTTGACGCAAAATAATAGATTGATGTCTCCCGTTGAGAGAATTGTGGATGGGTTAGCTTCTTTCAAGGCTATTGTTGAATAAGATTACAGAACAGATGAATGCATGGGATTGGGACTTGGATGTACCGTCTTGGGTGATATGAAATTTTGGAGATGAGATGTCGAATTTGGCCCCGTGTTTAGCAAAGCTGGTTGAAGGTTTAAAGTCTTAATAAGAAGTCCAGTATCTTCTCTTATAATAAGAAGGAAAAAAGAACTTGCAGTATTGGCTGCAATGTCAAGGTCCTAGAATGAGACGTCCAACACTGCCTGTGCCAGTTTTGGTATTTTTTTTTTTTTTTTTTTTTTTGGCTAAAACGGAAATATTATTAAAAGCTAAGAAAGACAGGTAGTACAGTTCTTCTTAGACAAGTGTTTGAACAATCTTTATTGAAAGCAAGTAAAGCATAAGGCGGTGGTTCTTCGATGACAACGTTGGTGGTGTCATCAATAACTTGCAATCCATAAGAGGTAAGTAGAGATCAGAACCTGTGTCAATCATCATTTGCAATACTTGAGAATCTGTTTCTATCTGTAGTGGATAGAAGTTTACGTCCTGAGCAATTTGCAATCCTAGCAACAAAGCATGGAATTCTGCTTCAAGTGCCGATGAGAAAATGAGGTGAGTAGTAAAACGTCGGATCCATTGACATTGATGGTCTCGAAACACTCCCGCAGCACCCGCAGTTTTGGTGTTGGAGTTAAAGCCACCATCAATGTTTAATTTAAGTAAATGTGACGTGGGAGGGTGCCATTTAATATAATGAGCAGTCGATATGTGAGGTAAGGCAGGGGTTCTTAGATAGTGAAATTCTATCACATGGAACATAATATTTTTTACCGAGACAGGATCGTGTAAATTGTGGAAAAGGTTATGGTTACGAGTAGTCCAGATGTGCCACAGAATGAAAGGGACAAGCTGAGCTATAGAAACTTCAATTCCGTGGTAGATGAATGGAAGGTGGGTGCGTGTACACTGATCTTTAAGCCATTCAGTGAAAGATGTTGCATGCAAGTTAATAGGGAAGAAGTTCCATACATTATGAGAATTGATGCATTCAAAGAATAAGTGTTTGAGGGATTCGATTTTAGTAGGACAGGAATGACAGAAAGGGTGGGGAAGCATGTTAATAAATGAAAGGTATGGAGCAATCGGTAGTCTGTTAAGAAGTAGTAGCCAAAGAAAAGTTTGAATTTTAGGTGGGATATGGAGGGACCAAACTCATTGGATATTTGGTGGATTAGCAGGAAGGTTGCCACGGGTGTTAAGATATAAGTGATATGCGGATTTAGCAGAAAAGAACCCTGAATTGTTCGGAAACCAACAAAAGTCATCAGTGCGCGATGAAGTTGGATTAAAGTAAGTACTATGGATGAAAAGTGAGATATCGACAGGTAGCTCAAAGGAGAGGACACTAGTATTCCAATTTCCATTAAGAAGAAGGTGATCTAGTTTAAGATATTGCTCAGTATGAGTTAAAGGACCGTAAATAAGACTGCGAAGAGGAGAATTATTTGGAAGCCAAATGTCATTCCAGACGTTAATGATTGTGCCATTGGCGATGTGCCATTTAAGGCCTTGCGCAAGGAAAGAGTTGCCTTGAAGAAGAGCTCGCAAAGTGGGGGAGGTTCTTCGCCTTGGAAGAATAGATGTGCAATTTGAAGAGGGGAGATTATATTTAGCAGTGATGACACAGGGATTTGGGATGACGGCGAAAGCGCCAAGCTAATCCAGCAATAAGAGCTAAATTCTCACTTATGGATTGGTGGATTCCCAATCCACCATAGGCACGAGGCAGCGTAACTTGTTCCCAGTTAACAAGATGAATTTTACGTTTAGTAGTGGTGGAGCCCCATAGAAAATTTTGTTGAATTTTATCAATGTGGTTAGTAATTTTTGCAGGAAGTAAAATATATTGCATTGCAGATGTAGGTATGGAAGCAAGAACGGATTTAACTAAAGTAGTCCGACCCGCGAGGTTGAGAAATTTGGTCTTCCATACTTGCAGTCTATTGTTCATTTGGTCAAGGAGATATTGATAATCTGCACTCTTAGGTTGAAGCCTAGTGATTGGGAGTCCAAGGTATTTACCAACTTGATAAGAGAAACGCATATTTAAAATGTCAGAAATATCATCTTGGACGCTTTGAGGGATATTTGGCGAAAAGACAATGCAGGATTTGTTATTATTGATCTTTTGTCCTGCCAAGGTACCAAATGTTTGGACGACCTTATGGATTGCGACGGCATTTGCTGGAGCAGTCCGCAAAAAGAAGGTGAGAAAGAAGAGGGTCATTGCGGGATAATTTGAGAGGTGTCCATTCGTGATTATCAATAGAGAGGTTAATAATGCGTGTTAGAGTTTCCATACAGATGATAAACAAATATGGAGATAAAGGATCACCTTGACGGATGCCTCTCGTTGGAGAAAAGAAGGGGGTAGGCTGTCCATTTATAAGGATAGATATAGTAGAGGATGAGACACAGTTCATGATGAGATTAATAAGGGAAGGAGGAAAATTTAAACTAGATAGGGAATATCGAATGAAGGACCATTTGAGGCGGTCAAAAGCTTTTTCAAGGTCGATTTTAAGAAGCATGTGACCCTGATTACCCGTTTTTGCATGGAAAGAGTGAATTGCTTCTTGAACAATAATAACATTGTCAACACTTCGTCGTCTGGGAATGAAGCTACTCTGATATGGGCTAATAATGGAATCAAGGTAAGGCTGAAGTCTGTGGATGATGATTTTAGTGATGATCTTATAGCTAGTATTACAGAGAGCAATTGGGCGATATTGGGCAATCCGTTCGGGACTTTTGACTTTAGGTATTAAAGTGAGATGTGTTTGATTTAGTAAAGGAGGAATAGAGGAAAGGTAAAAGGTATCATGACATAATTTTAGAATAGCGGGTTGTAGATCATTCCAAAATTGATGGAATAAGATTGGATACAAGCCATCAAGTCCAGGAGCTTTAAGAGGTTGGAAATATTGAATTGCTTGATAAATTTCAGTATCTATGAGGGGTCGGGCCAGGTGTTGGGACATAGCAGTTGTAAAAGCGTTGGGTGCGTGGATGGCAACTTGGTTGAGGCTTAGTAGAAGTTCAGTAGTGTAAAAATTGTGAAAATGAGTGATAATAATGTCATTGATGGTAGATTGGTCGAAGGTCCTATTACCTACAGTGTCATTAAGTCCGAAAATGCAATTTTTTCTTCGACGATGAACTGTAGAAAGGTGAAAAAAATTTGTATTCGCATCTCCGTCATAAAGATTTTGGACTCGTAACTTAAGTTTCCAAAACTCTTCTTCGTTCTTTAACAGGAGATTAAATTCTTGAACAAGATTATCTTCCAAAGCAATATGAAAAGCAGATTTGTGATTTGAATCCATTTTTTGGAGACCTGCAATACGAGCTTGAAGAATTCATTTTTTGTGAAAATATTACCGAAACATTAGGTATTCCAACATTGAAGAACTTCAGTAAAATGGTGAAGCGTAGGTAAATAAGTGTTGGAATGATGCCAAATAGTATTGATTAATGGAGCAAAGCTGGGGTGACTAATCCACATGGTTTCAAAGCGGAATGATTTCTTAGGATGGCTAGTCGCCCTATTAAGTTTAGTAAAGTTGGACAGTGTTCCGAATATGTATGTGGAAGGTGAATTACAGAAGAATCTTGAAATAGTTGGAGCCAATTAGAGTTAGACAAGAATCTATCTATTCGTTCCATGATTAGGGTGTTCAAAAATTTTCTATTATTGGTCCAGGTAAAACGTGAGCCAGTAAAGCCTAAATCATGCATTCCAAGAGAATGAATACAATCCAAAAACACAGTTACTCTACTAATATTAATAGGGTTTCCTCCAAATTTTTCGGAGGCACTGACTACTTCATTAAAATCACCACAGAGAAGCCACGGTCGAGGATAAGAAGTATTAAAATATTTTAAATTTTCCCAAAGTTGAAGTCTGTTGGCTAAAGAAGTGCTGGCATAAACAACAGATATAGTCTAAGGCGGGGATGAGGGGATTACCTGTACGGTTGCATTAAGTTCTTGATTTGTGGCAACTAGGGGATCAACAATAACTTCCTCACTTTTCCATAATAGAACCATGCCTCCAGAGTAGCCATCTGCGCGAGCCTGCAAGATGCCCGAGAATCCAAGTTCTTCCTTGAAAGACTCGTGTTCATAAAGTTTTGTTTCTGTCAAGGCTAAAATAGAAGGGTTATTCCATGAAAATATAGCTTTAATATTTTGGATAAAAGCTGGGTTAGCCGCCCCGCGACAATTCCATAGAAGAATTTTTATTTGGTTAATTGATGAAATGGTGGAGCTGCCTCCCGGCGTCATTGATATTGCCAGTGTGTTGACAGAGGATGCAGTGGCTCATCTTCATATAAATGAGGTGGAAGTGCCATTGTCAGGTCCGTCTCTGTTGTTTCCTGTCGAAGAAGGATCTGTTCCTCCTCCACCAATGGTATTGGCGAGACTGCCGTGAGGAAGAGTATTTTATACTTCTCTGGAATATCTGCCAGGCATGCACGTAGATTTATGGTCATCTCCTTGATGTTGTGGTGACCCTTCACTAAAATTCTTCTTTCTGCATTTTGGAGAAGGGTCAAAGTAAGAGTCGTTTTCAGTAGAAAATAGTCCAGGTCCGGTATCTCTGGGGTGTTTTGCAACATGTCTTGTAATAAGGGGATCGAGGTGTGGGTTGTAGGGGACAATGTCCATTGTGACAGTGGATTGCCGAGGCTTTCGATTTGAGAGGTTACTGGTGACAAGTTGGGTGAGGTGAGTAATGGAGGCGGTAATATGGTTGGGGTTACCATCTCCGTTAGAAGGTAATCGAGGTGAGAGGTTGATGGTGGCAAGTTCGGTAAGATGTGTAATGGGTGAGGAAAAGGAAGTTGATCCTCCATCTATGATG